GCAGGAATAAAACTGATGTACAGGCATTTAGCACAGAGCTAACTGGAATTCTGTATTTCCAGCCTGTGACTTTGAAGTAAATTTTGTTCCAGGTCCAAGTTCCTTTTTAAAAACCAAGTTTAGAATAAAATTAAAATAGTGTTCAGGTTCAGAAAATATAAACTTACAAATATAAAAGGAAGTTCAGTACTATATTTGACATATTTTATATTATTTTATGATTGTATGCACACCACCTGTTGGCATTTCACAATACACTTGACAGATAAAGTGTTTTTTCGAGGTTTTACATGTGTTCAGTAACAACTGAAATGCTCGTTTTGTTTCCTGAGTTACAGTGAAGCATCAAACTTCTGTACATTACATCCTTTGAGTTACTTCTAGCACACTCAGAAGTAGAAAAGATCCAACTGTAGAACCTCCTGCTGTGTGGTGCCCTGCAGTACAGTGTTATGCTGACCATCCTACCAATGGTCTGTTAGAGATTATTAAAATCTGAAGTTCTAGTTTTCTGTGAAATGACAACTTCAGAGCTCAAACTCTTGTAATTTAGAAATGAATTTTCCCTGCAGGAACTTCTCTTGAAATCAACATGTTTTCTGAATGTTTCTCTTTTAACCAACTAACAGCTGTTGTTTCAAAGGAGAAAAGAACAAACCCCATTTTTAGAAAAGCATTCAGCACAGCCTCTTACTTGAGGTCTGACCCAGGGACAGCTCTTCCCCTAAGATTTCCCTGTGGGTGATAAGCTTAGCAGAACAGTAGTGGTTTGCTCCTGCCGTCTGTTCTTTCTTTTGCCTGCTGTGTGCTTCTTAGATCCCTCCCTGATGAGGAGAGCCACAAAGTGGCCACCCAGACCTTTCTGCTTAGGAAAGAGAAGCCAAATAATTGCTAGCTCCACATCCCTCTCTCCTTGGCCCCTTCCCAGCAAAGCAGTGCTGAGCATTGGCTCTTCCCTTACTGCACAACCCCTCCTTGCTTCCCTGGTTGCTGTTTTGCCACCTCTACCACACCTTAGGAGCTCTCCTAATCTTGCAAACTGAAGAAGAGCAATTATCCTCATTTTCTCCCCTTGTTATTAGTTCTGCTCTTCTGTTCTTGCCAACAGATATATTTGTGCCTTTGCTCTGCTGATCTCCCACCTTCTGGAGCCAACATCTCCCATGCAGCCACTCCTGCCAGGCACCACTGTCTGCATCCATTCATGACTCTCACCTCTCACTGCTCTCCACAGGCCTTGCCTTGCCCCTCTACAGAACTGCTCACAGGGCTTCTTTGCCGTTTTCTTCCAACTGAGCTCTGATTGCTGCATTCTTTCTTGCTTTGTGCTTAAGAGGCTGAACTAATTCCCCAGGTGTTCCTTATTGAAAATGTCTCAAAAACAGAAGTAGTTAAGTATTTATATGCCCCTTGTTACTGCATAAGGAAAACACACTTTTCCTATCCTTGTCTGTGTTTGACATTTTCCATAGCAAAATTTACAGGGAGCTTGGTATATGGCCCATTTGTGCATCATATTTTTATTTTGAAACCCACAGAAAAAACAAGACCTCGTTGCCATGAAAAAGTAATGCTCAAGTGTGTAATCATACACACTGTGCCTTATAAAACAAGCTCTGGTTTTGTGTCATGGAACCTGCCTTAGGTTGCTTTCACATAGTCCTTAATAATGACATGGCACCATAAACTTATTTTATGTCTTGCTCTGTAGAGCAGTGTAGTAGGTGGCAGACACAGGTGATTTATATCCTCTCTCACTTCCCTGTGAAAAGTATTAATACAAATGAGAATCGTAGCCTCAACATGTTTCATTTATAAACAGCAGAGATGGACCAAAGTAAATATATGAAGAAGAGTTCAGTCTTTGCCAGCCCCTGATGATTCATGGTGTGATTTTGCCTATGAGCCTTGGGCAGAGTCAAAAAGGATGTTAGATCTTCCCCTGTACCATCCTTTGCAAATCGTTGGATACAGGACTTGTGCATGTGCATGTGCTGTTCAAGGACACACCCTGAATGCTGAGACACACTGCTAGAAAATATGAAGCTTAGCTTTTGGTGAGTGGCAAGTGCTGCATCTGCATCTGGTGCTTGCAAGTCCTGATGCAGACAGAAGAGGAAAGGTGAATGTTGCATCAAAAATAAACCTGATGCTGCAACTGTGACTAGCTGCAGCTTTGGAGAGAGCAGAAAACTAGTTATCCATTAATTTTCCTTGAAGATTTTGATCCCCATATAAAATGATCACTTTTGTCCACTGTTGAAATAGCCAGTTCAGATTTGCACTAAGCAGAATGGAAGGCACTACTAGCATTTGGACTGCCACTGCTCTCAAGCACCATCAAGAAAATACAGTTTTGTTTTCCTTCGTCAGGTCCTTCAGATTCTGTGGGATATTTTCCCACAAAACATCCAAGAAAGTACTCATGAGAGAAGGGAAAGTCAGTTAGGCAAACATTGTTTTTGCTTTATAGCAAGTGTTTTGCCCTAAATCTCTGACTTTCCTGTGACACAGTCCTGCAAGATAAAATGCAACCTCCCAGCAAACACCAAGAGTAAAAAGGGAAAGCAAACAGGAAAATATATTAATGTCTCAAGGAATTTTCTTTTTCTTGCTCTTTCTTCTTACTTCCTTGGTCCATGTTTTCTTTATGAAATCCTGTGGCTGTGACCATCACACCATGGGCAAACAAGCAGGGCAGGGCTTTCATGTTTCTGCTCTCAGCATGGTCCCCACAGCTATTTTGATGGGAGTTGTGGATGGGCAGGAGGGGTGAGCTGAGCTTGGGTGGCCGCTCCATCTTTCAGATGTAATTATATCTCCCTGGTACAAGAAGCAGTTGGTGACTGCAGAGCTTGGACAACTGACAGCCTGAGCCCTTAACCTGGGAGATCCAATGTTGGGAGGAATAATAAAAGGCACTGAAAAATTAAAGAGGAAAGGCTGGTGCAAAGTTTCTGGATATCACAACCCAAGAGCTCTAGGGCACCATGCTGTCAGTGGGAAGAATTAGTGGCTGCAGAAAAAAAGAGAAATGCAGAGATCAGGAGTAATCTGGGGAGCTACAAACACAGAGAGGAGAGACAGGAGGGCAGGCAGCCTGGTCCATGCCTGGGTCATAAATGAGCACGATCTAAGTGTTGGCTCAGTCTGTACAGTGTGTTGTAGGTCTGTTCACCCCTCTGGCCCTACCTGACTTGCTTACTCGCAGGCTGAGACCCCACAGCTGCTTCTGGTTCTCTAGAAGCCTGTCTCTTGGCTGCATGAAACACCCTTGGGAAAGCTGGTCACCAGAAAAGGCAGTTTCCTAACCTAGGGGAAAAGTTGATAGAGCAGTGCCCTGTGGATAAATTAATGTCAGCTTTGCGCGTTCCTGCCCAGCTGCTCCTCCATCCCAGGATGGGAATGCACAGCAAGGTGAAGAGACACAACACAGAGTGCAGATAGGGTGGGCTACAGAGAGGGTGTGTAGCTCTTTGTGCCTTGATGATGTTTGTCACTTGCACAGTGGCTGAAGAACTGAGAGTGTGTAAGGCCTTCTTCTGAACTTAGTGCTGTGTACATCAAAACACTTGTATTTGGCCATTCTGGTATGTATCTTAATGACAAAGTCCTGCACAACTGAAAACAGAATTATAAAATGGGTTTCCTTCTACCTTTATTTTTTTCTAAAACAGGTCTGAAGAAAGAAGTACAAAAAGATCAGGATGCTAGCAGACCAGCTGCCTCATCACCTAAGAGATCAGCAGTAACAGCCACCAAGCTCCATTCACCAGGTATTTATGAAGCCAAAGGCACTGTTTCAGGGAAGAGTTAAACTTACCAAATTTGCATCTCATGTTAAAATACTTAAATCTGAGACCTACTATTGTTAAGTGAAGACTGATTGTGTCCAAGGTTCATTAAGCTGGTTGTGAGTACAGCAGGCTTTATAATACCAAAGCACGAGTTGAATAGACTTTTTTTTTCTTTGTTATAAACATGCAATCATATTTCCTTCAAAACAAAGAGTTGTTTCTTTTACATGTTTAAAGGCACAGGGATATTTTTTTAATTAAATTTTCCTATATAAAAAGAGAACAGACGGATATGGTGAAATGAAAGACACCTGAGGTGATTTACCTGGAGTGACAGTACATTACTCGGTATCTATTTGTGCTGTTGTGCCAAGGCACTAAATTTCCTGGGCTATTTCTATGCATAATTGGAGAAAGATTATCTATAGAAATAACCTTCAGAGTGCTACTGGGGCATTGTCAACTTATGCCTCAATATTGAGCACAAACACATGGTTTTAGCATTTCTAAAGAATGTCTTTGTTTATTTACTAAAACGAAGAGAAGTTATTTCTATTTATGTCTACTAAGTGTACATTAACAAATGTATAAAGGATCTAAAGGCTTTTGTAAGGATGGCCTTTGGCTGATCTGAATGCTTCTAAAATGACAGGGCATGGTCCCACTGATTTCTTTGTGCTTGCAGTTTATCTTTTGTTTTGTTGCATCATTTCTCAGACTCTACTTAAAAACTTTAAATGTTATCTCTACATAGTTATGTGAGACTTGAGTTGTAATTATCAGGGGTAGAACCCTGTGTTTCTTCATTTGATGATAAAGTATAAAACATGTAGAACAGTTCTTTGACACCTATAACTTGCATCAGGGGTCTCTAAACTCAATCCCTTTTCTTCTCCTTCCCAACCAACAAAACCAAGAAAGCAGAAGGCTAAATTTATTCTTCCCATGCACCAACAGGAATCAGAACTCCTCTCCTTCCCAAGATACAAGGGAGATAAGATTAACTTAACTCCATCTGCCAAATCATATAATTTTCAGGCTATTTTGCACCTGGGGAGGTCACCAAGAGAGATCCAAAGGAAAATGTTTTGCAGAGTGTCAGACCAGTAGTTCACCAGCATTTATAATGATGGGAGTCTAGTTTAGGCACCAGCACTGATGGTAGCTGTAAAAGTGTGTTACAGGGCAGATTATTTGCTTCCACTAGAGTTAGAAAGCACAATAAAACATAGACTTATTTGTACTGTGCATTTGCATTGTCTTAAGGAGGCTTGTATCTTTCCATGGATAGCTTAATTATTTTCAAGGCTTAATTTTTGGCATATCCAATTAATGAAGCCTCAAAGGTTTCTTCATTCTCATGACATGTTGAGTAACTGCCCTCTCTTCATCAGACTGATTTAGAATTTCTTAAGCTTGGTTGTCTGAAATTATGGCAACCTAAAATTGTTTATCACCATAAGGATCAAACAAGAAAAGAAATTTCATATTAATTAACTTTTTTAGAGTGGCCTTTAGCATTCTTTGAAATAACAACAGCAATAACAGAGCAATCCTTTCACCTATTAAATAATTAAAAAAAAAATAATCAGATCAGCCATTTAACAGGACAAGGAGTGAGCATCTCTGGGGCTCAGGAGCAGTAGCATAACCTTTCCTCCATCAGCATCACAATCTCCTGCAGAATTTACACTTTGTGATAGCAGAGCATGTGTTCCTTGGGTAGCTCCATCATAGGTACACGTAGCCATGAAACAGGCTCTAAACTTTCTGAGTGCTGTTTCTAGCTTGTTCTTCCACCGTTACTGGCCTCCTCACATGCAGTTCCTTTTATTTAGTGCTGCTTTTTGACTGTCATACAATTTTTTTTTGCTAGGCTTGAATCTGATCTTTAGTATTTGGATCAGTTCTGAAGACCGGCAAGGGAGTTTTGAGATGCAGTCATGTAGGGTTCTCAGTTGTATCTATTGATGCAATACCATTCCTGAAATCTGTGTAGGAGCAGGTGTACATAGATGCAGGTGATCTCCTTCCACCCCACTGCAGGATGGTGCCATCTGTTTCTGACATCTGTCACTCTATCAATTCTCTCAAAGTCATTTCCTCACTTTCCTTACAAAAATGTCAGAAATTGAACAGTTCAAAGGCAAATAAATTGCATTCCCCATCTAAATCCTCATGGACTGTGTTAATTATGAGTATATACTTGTTATGTCTCCTTAGTTCAAACAATCCAGTAGATTAAAAAAAAAAGTGGGAGTTTTGAGGTAGATCAAAGGAATTCAGTGACTCCAGTGTACACTGGGTCTACCCCCCTGGTCCCACCATCAGCAAAAACGACATTCAGGATCAGGGCCAACATCATTAATACATACCCTGTTTTGTACAGAGCAACAGAAGTGACACCTCAATGGCAAAATAAGCTTAGTAAGCTGCTTTTCAGACCCAGATGAACAAAGAAATTCAGATTTATCCCTGAGGAGAATAGCACAGTTTAATTTACAAGGACAACTTATAATACTGACAAGGACAACATGGAGATGTGATCTTCAAAAGTTCCAGTGAACAGGAAAGCTAGAAAGATATAAGACAAAACAACTTTATGAGTTTCTGTTTTAATTAATACTGGTCTGACTTCAAGGACTTCCCCCTGCACTCCTCCCTATGCCTTCTGTTGTAGCATCACCATGTTGCCTCAACAGCCCACAATTTTTATACTAAAAAGACAGGTATTTATGGCTGCTACTTTAATTGATTTCTTATTTTGTGCTGCCTAGTTAAGAGCCCCTTTACATGAATTAAAGAACCTGTAAGAAAATACCATTCCTGCACAAACAGTTGTACAAGCTTTAACTGACATGAAAATGAATGGAGGGCAATAGAAATGCTGGTTGAACTGTCTTGATGACAGAAAGTCCTCTCCTGCAACCTGCATTGACTTATTAAAGGTCTTGCAGCATCATGAAGTCAGTCCTGTTGTGAAATCTGGTATTCCTCTTTGGAAATGCAAGTCATGGGCCCAAAGAGTTTCAAAGGCTGTTTTGCACTTGTGGCTCTGTGCAGTTGCAGCATGAGATACTTGGAGACCTGAGGGAGCACCTCTGCTGGAGCTAGCTCCCTGTAACCTTAACCTGGAGCCAGAATGTAGCCAAGGAAGTTGGAATTTATGTTCCCAATGGTTCCACATAAGCTGGAAATCTGAAAAAGTAGGGGTATGCTGCTGGGGTATTGCTCTGGCAAAGCCATACTGCTTCTCTGTCTGATCTAGTAAAATTGCCCTAAGGATGCATTTGCACACCCAGGACACAGCCTTAAAGATCTAAAATATCTAAAGCATATCTGACAAAATTACCTCTGGAACACTGCTCTGTGGCACAAATTGGCTCAAACTAACACCAGCAGATGCATCTCTGTGGAAGGATTCTTTTGGTTTTTAGGGAAGGGGTGGCTAATATCCATGGCAGAAGACTGTCCCCTGTTAAGTGCATTGCAAGGAGTGGCTGGAGACGTTTCTGTATTGTTTTTCAGGAACTGTGTACTACAAGACTAGAAAACTGCAAATACCATTTTTTTCAGATACCTGCATACCCAGCCCTATCTGCTAACACAGAAATGTTTATTTTTTTATCTGTATCCAGACCAGTGTCCACCATCTCTAGTAGCACATGAGAACAAGGTGTCTGACTCTACTGACTCTCCTAGGCTAAAAGAGACTAGTGGAAGGAGCTGAGGAAGTGAACCAGAGATTCCTGACCACTATTCAGGAATGAGCTGAAAAGCATCAGCTTTTAGCAAAAAGAATCAGTAATCTGTGCAAAGGTGTTTCCCAGCCAACCATAAAGGTTTGCAGAGTAGGGTTCTGAGAAAGCTAGTAAGATAAAGACAAAACAGATTGTCCAAGCAGTGGCTCAAACAAACTGACACTACCCCTTCATGCTTTATCCTCGTAACTGAGTATATCCAGAGAAATTAATAGTTGGCTCAAGCAGGATATGAGCATAACGTAGGATAAAAGCCTTTCTTCCCTGAAGTGGCTTATCATGAGTAAGCTTTAGTATTTGTGCCATTCCTGTGAGTATGACACTGTATTTGAGCTGATATCCCAAACACAAGCTACATTAGTGGTTTCACATCTTCATATGGGATCAGGCTTGCTTCAAGATGACCTGGAGCACATCACAGGAACCAGAGTCTGCCTGGACCCATCTCTGCAGGCAAACCATATAGTGATTCTGTGTTACAAGTGTTACTGGTAGTGCAGAGACAGCAGCTATGCAGAGCCACTGGTGTAACCAGTCAGCATTACGTGGTACCTGGTGGCATTTCTGCATGTATCTGGTTTATCTTGCAACTTTAGAAGTGTTAGAAAGGGGAGAGCAAGGGAAACTGGCTAGGTAGACTGCAGTGTTGTTGATAAAAATAAGTAGTGATATCCCAATGGCAAACCCCCCATGCTATGTTTGCATTAAGGGAGGAACAGCTTCAGCCCCACATTGTCCCATTTGGAGGCAAAAGGAAATCTGCAAAGATGAAGGAAATCTGGCATCTCTGTCAAGTCACCAAACTTGGGGTTCAGGTGGCTAAAGAAATCATGTGTAGAGTGTAAATGCATTCCAACCTTTTTTCCACATCCACAACAGGGTAAGATGAATCTCAACCTGGAAATGCCCATTTCTCTCACTGCCATTCACGAGAGTTCAGCATCACAAGTGCAGATGTAGATCACTGTACTTGTAGATATCTAATATAGGTGAGATGAATCTTTCCTCTAACTGCCTCAGTTATAGGTAAGATACTCTTAGAAGAGCTCTCCTCAACTCACAACAGACCTTCAAGCTCAAGCCTGAGGTGAGATGACTGTTATAAAGCTCTGAGCATGGCCCCCAATGATCATATTTCATTGTGATCTCGCCTTTTGTTATTTCTTCTTATAAGTCATTACAGATCTGTGTGAATGCTACAGACCCTTTTTTCTTTTGAAGGACCGAGTCACAAAGGCCTTAGAAACACATAAAGGTCATGTCCATACTTATAAAGTGACCCTGGTTGTCTTCTCTCCTTTGTAGGACATCCCAAGCAAAGGCCAACCACCCCAAAGAATGGCTTCTCCCCCAAACCAGGAGAGGGCCGAGATGCTGAGAAGCAGTTAATTCAGAGACTAAAGGAAAAGTGTGATGAGCAGTCCCGACGATTAAGCAATATTCAAGATGAATTTAAAAGGGCCAGCTGTGGCTTTGATGTCTTTGCTATAACAACACAGCACTTTTTCAGGCAGGTAAGTGCAATGGGTACTTTTTGCCATTGGAAAGACATTTTGCCTTTGCACCAGCCACTTGTCCAAATTTATTCCATAGTTGCTGAAACTTTGTTCATGGGAGGAAAGCATGTCATTTCTTTGCAACAGTTATTATGAGGAGGGAATTATAATTTGATGCCATGGATTTGAAAAGCAAAGTTCAGGAACTTGGAAGAGGGGGAATTGTGACTGAAGCATTTGTCACAAGCACGGGGAGGGGGTTTCAGGATATTTTTAGGAGTGAAGCAGATGCAGAAACTTAGAAGTCGCAGTCCCTGACTGCTACAGCTGGAATGGAAAGTGTAACTGAGATGTTGACACTTACAAAACAAAGGCAAAAACAATCCATGTAGTTAGTCAACAAAAAGTGTTGGATGAAGGAAAATATTTACTTTCTCACAGATGTTTAAACACAGATTTTAAAAGATGATCACAGTAACCATGAAGGACTTGTTAGGTGTTGATTGCTTCAAAACTGTTTAAGTTCAAGAAGGACAGGGAACTGCTTGAAAGAGTCCAGCACAGAGCCACAAAGATGACTAAGGGAGTGGAACATCTCCCTTATGAGGAAAGGCTAAGGGAGCTGGGTCTCTTTAGCTTGGAGAAAAGGAGACTGAGGGGTGACCTCATCAATGTTTACAAATATGTAAGGGGTGAGTGTCAGGGAGATGGAGTTAGGCTTTTCTCAGTGATGACCAGTGACAGGACAAGGGGTAATGGGTGCAAATTGGAGCATAGGAGGTTCAAGGTGAATATCTGAAAAAATGTTTTTATTGTGAGAGTGACAGAGCACTGGAACAGGCTGCCCAGGGAGGTTGTGGAGTCTCCTTCACTGGAGACATTCAAAACCCACCTGGATGCGTTCCTGTGTGATGTGCTCTGAGTGTTCCTGCTCTGGCAGGGGGGTTGGACTAGGTGATCTTTTGAGGTCACTTCCAATCCCTAGGATTCTATGATTCTATGATTAAGCTGGTGTCCCAACTACTCTGTTAAACAGGCAGACAGACGATCACTAGCAGTTGGAACTGAGGTTTGGATAATATCCTTGGTTGCTGCTTGTCTACTTTTGGAAGAGGCAAGAGAAACCTTTCAGTACTAAATGGGAGAAAGTAAACCAAGAAATGAAACCGATTCAAACAGTCTTTACAAATTCTGAAATACATTATTCAGGTTTGTTGTTGGGGTTTTTTTATTAGTGGGAAAGGTTACCTTTCAACAAATAGTGTAGTTATTTGTGGTTACTTTTTTCTAAGGAGGAGCTGATCTTGCTTGGGGGAGCTTCACTGAACTGAAAATCAGGGAATTTTTAAGAAGTACTAAGTATTTTAAATACCTTCCCAGGGGATTTTCCCCCAAACACTCTTTTTCTTTAGTCTTGACATCTCTGGGCGTGATGGACATTTCTAAAATTTGGGGGGTTTTTTTGCTTTTTGAGGGTTTTTTTGAGCTGACTGTGGAGTATCTTTAATTAAAGAAAAGGGAAACAAAAAAGGGCAGAGCAGTGTCTGCTCAGTTTTGTCAATGCTTTGTCCACTGGGGGAGAGATTTTTCATCTCATGCATCATTCACAGTTTGCTGAAAGAATTCTGGAAGCTTGGGCATATGTCCTTTGTGTCCTCTGGATATGTTTTAAATGAGAACAGCTGCTGCAGCTGAGCCTTGAGATGCCTCTCATCCTGTTGGTACTTGTTAGTTATGTCCTGAGAACGCTTCCTAAATTGAACACCTTGAGGGACTTTATTTAATAGAGTCTTCTCCAAGTCCTGGCTGGTCATAGCTGTGCCTCATATTCCCAGCTCCTCTGCACTATCAGGCCAGCTGGGGGTTTGCAATAATACTGCCCTGAGTTCCTGGAAGGCTTGGAATTAAAAAATCATATACCTGTGGAATTTAAGCATCTTAAGACTCAGGCAGGTTTAGATGTATGGGGTTGGGTTTTTTCAGAAAAAATTGTGTTGGCAGGGTTTGTGTTGTTAAGACAGCATGGAAAAAGAAACTTTTCCCATGATAAAAATACTAATTATGTGTGTTTGTTTCTGAGGAATCTGCAGGCAAGGTGGTTGAGGTCTGAGCAAAACTGCAGTTTGACAAGGGAATAATACTCATTCAGGAACAGGTGGGGCCTTATTCCAAAGAGGTTTGGTGTTGATTTGTCCAACTTGCAGTTCTGCTCTGCTAAGCAGGGGGCCTGATCCTGGATTCATGCTAGGGAGTCTCTTTGATCTGATAGTCAACCATAGCCTAATTTTAGTATGTGTCTCTTCTTTATGAACTGGAGATTAATTCTGTTGGAAAATGGGTTCCCAAGCAGCAAGAACTGGATTGATTCTTAAAAGATCATCCAAGGATCAGTGTTTTCTACACAGGAAGGAGTGTCCCAGTGCCCATGGCTCTCTACTCTTGCTCACACTGTTTCTGTTCTCTCTCCAAAGTTGGGAAAAACACCAGTGCTCTTTAAAGACCCATTTGTAGTTGAGGCATGACCTGTCCCCATGCACAGAGGCTTTGGATAGTCCTCCAGATTCAGGCAGGTTGCTTGGACTCGCTTTTATACAGGATTTGATGTACCCTTACTAGTCCCACCATAGTTTGCCTCTCTTGCATGCCTGAAAAGTCCAGCAGACAGGTTTAGTTGGAGAAAGAAAGTGTCAATATATAGTAAAGAGTGTTGGCCCATACGAGCAGCTTCTTTGAGCACTTTCCAGTTTTAAGCACTTGCTGTAGCAACCTTAAGGCTGGATGACCATTTTCTTTGAGCCTTGTTGGATTTATTTTCTGGCTGTTCCAGTCCACTGCTGAATTGTGTCCTGAATCATCTCTCATTCCCTGCTGAAAATGCTCTTAACAGGCAAATTTCATTTAATAGGCATCAAGGAGTGCCCAACATGGAGCAGTGCACAGCAGGACGTAGCAGTGCATAGCACAGACCCACTAAATGACAGCTAAAGCAATTTCCTCTCCTGGGGAAGAGCCTGGGCACTCAGAGCAACTGATGCCTGAGACAGTGGACAAAAAAAAAAAAAAAAAAAGATAAAGCAGCAGTTCTGACCTAGCATTTAGCTAACTGCAAAAAGTAATTATTACAGTGCTGGTGGACAGCCTGGCTATTCATTATTATTTAATTAGCAGGTGGATTAGTTAAGACCCTCAGATATGCATGTTTGACTCCTGTTGACTTTAGGGGCTGCTTCAAACTTACTCTGAAGAACTTTGTCCTTGATGTTGGATGGTGATCATATCAATAGAACCATTGTGCTGTGAGGGGTACTCCTAAGTGAACAACTGATTGGCGGGAACTGGAGTGATACTGTGAAGGTGATACCATCAGAGCTTTTCAGAGCAAATATCACGAGCAGCTCCCTCTGACTCGAGTCACTCCTCACCTGCTCTGACTTGGTAGCCCAGTGATAACGCCTGTTGGGCCATTGCAGCCCAGTTCAGCAGAGTAGCCAGCAGCAGTCCCTCTTGGAAGTGGTAACAGTGCCATCTAAAGGAGAGTAGCCCTCACTGACAAACTCTGGAGGACAAATCTTTCCGGGCATCAACAGTGAGAGGGGGAAAAAAAACAAAATAATTACATTGGTATCTCTGGTACCTTCAGAGCAGCAGTGTTTGTGCTGAGGGTGTCATGGCCAAACAGCACCCAGAGCCTGGAAACTGAGCTAATGCCTTCCTGCCTGCACAGCATTCCTGAGCAGCCAAAAAGGGGAGTCCTATTAGTAAGTTCTGCCTCTGAAATTTCAAATTAGGACCACAGATCTCCAGCACATGTGAGGGGCAAGGGATCTTTCTGCACTGCAGGCCCCAAGGATGGGAGTAGGTAAGGGAAAGGGTTGTGCTGGGGTATTTTGTCCTGTGCTCTGTGTGGGCCTGGAGAGGTTTCCAGACTTGCAGCACAACCTTTAGCTACAGTCTTTATCACAGAGAAGAAACTGCCCAGGACAGGTCCCAGCAAGTGGGTGCTATTAGATCAGATGGGAGTGAGGGAACCACACAGATGTCCTGAGCTAGAGCTGGGACAGCACTGCAGTACTTGATGACATCCCAGTACTTTCTGTCTTCACTGGGGAAGACATGTCACCAGCAACCAGTGTGTGTTTTTCTCCACAATCAAGTGTGTGTTACTTTTGGGTGGATATACAACACACATCTTCCAGACAAGTAAATGCATGTAGCAATGTCCTGCAAAATCTGGGATGGACAAGGAAAACTTTTCCCCATTCAAATAAGAGATACGTGTATGCTGTTTCAGTTTCATGAACGGACAACGTATCACCCAGTGACATGTAACTACCTTCTCCAAATGCTTATTACCTCTTGTGTTAGAGGCCAAATTGGTTGCAGTGGTTATAAGCTGCTTGGGACTTCCCACCGTTGCCTCCAAAACATTGGGGCTAACATTTCAAGTGCTTATCTCAGGCTGAGCTGAAAATGGTTTATTTTCACAACTGTCTTTGAAAGGGAGTTCAGGAGAAATGTATCTATTGCTTGTGCCTGGTGGTGGCACAGTGGTAAGAAGCCAGAACTTACCAGAAAGACTGACCTTCTGGTTTTCAGTGGTACTGCTTTCCCAAGATTTGCAAAATATGTTAGAATTTAGCCCAAGCACAGTCTGCAGAAAAGTGCCATTCTTCTCCTTCATAATTTTTACAACTTGGCTAGATTTCCTATATTGAGCAAGTTCAATCTTTTCTTTGCTCCTGCTGGAGACCAGAGCAGTCAGAACAACTCAATCTTTTCATTCTGTATCCTGGAAAATAAATCCATTTTGGACTCATCAAACCCTGACAGTTTAGGGATCTGAAACAAAACACTTGATTTACTTGGGACGAAAAAATTAGAAAGAAGCTTTGTAATTTTTTAGAGCTTTCTAAATTGTGTTTTAAGTAGAAATGTACAAGATTTGGTATTGTGGGCTGCTACTTAGGGTAAAACAGAGCAGTAAGAATTGAGAGGCTGAGGGAGCTGGGTCACTTTAG